ATATCAGTACATTTTACTCTTTAAGGAACTCGACTACTTGCTATTTTTCAAGTAAAATTGATCAGGCCGCAATGCATTGTATAAGATTTYTGATAAAAAATGTTTAAACAAAAGTATGACTTYTAAATTGGATTTCGCTTTTACCARCTTTGTTGCCCTTGGTCTTGAATTCTTTCAATCTTAATTTGTTGCGCGCATAATTGTAAGAGCCAAACTTCATATCACACGACTGCATATCGAAAGGATAGGTATTCAGCTTCATTTCACAGTTGACAGAGAACTGCGCTGGTCCACTCCAAACGCATACACCATCGYTTCGAACTTTWACGTYCGATAAAAACTTCTCTTTTCCTCCTGCTCTTGACGTTCGGCTATCTCCACTACAAAACACAGAAACGGGTCAATGGACCAATCGACGATAGGGAGACCATTTCAAATTAATTAACTTTCAATTCAACACATATTTGTTCAGAGGTGAACATTTTGAATTAGAAAGTGCACTGTCTTTAAAGGCAAAAATCATTGCCATGATCACCTAACTCAAGAGATTCCAAGCAATGCCTTGAACTTTAAGATGTTTGAACAATTCCGATTTTTCTTAAATCTCATCTCTAAACAAATTCAGGAAAATCAATAGAGGGACAATGTAATGGAGGCTGCGTGAAATAATTAATCAATAATAGAAATTAATCTTAATTACGTACTTGTTGTATAGTTGCACATCAGGAAACCAGATTTCCGATGGCTTAAACTGAATGTCACGTAATCCTCCAAACTTCGCTTTGTCCCATTGCAAGAAAGCGTTTTTCCATTTCTTGGAAAGTAAAAAAAAAAATCTTTAGGCATAATTTAAATTAAGTCAGATGTAACATGAAACAGACGTGTGAGTTATGTAATTCGATGCGGAAATTCGTGTCGTGTATGGAGAAACAGGAAGGGTTAATTGTAGGTCCTTTATGTTTTATTAGCCTGAGCAAGAGGAATAGCCATGCCAGAAGCATCCTGAATTACTAAACCACTTTAACATTATATCAAACAATTGCTGTACGGGATCCCAGTAAGAGTTCACACCCATACTTCTMAATAATTATGATTTACCAAATATGATTACCATAGCTTTTGTTATTAGAATTGTTTGATATGGATTTGCACTTTCAATACGTGCATAGACTGAACGAATGAATAAACGAATGACTGAAACAATGAAKAAATAGAGAAATTAAGTTAAAGAAAAATTAAAGAAAAGTCTTCACAAACCATTATAATCCATGTATCAAGAGTCAGAAGTTGTTCTTTATTATCCTGCAAAGGAAAAAAACGTTTACATTGTGTCGGGTATTATTAAAAAACTAACAAATAATAATCTTCATACCACTTTGGCGAGTTTATTAATTTTTAATCCAAACTGTACGTCAACAGMACGACCACCAAGTTTAGGMAGAACAGAAGTGTCATAGTCAGTCAGTAAGAGTTTCCGTGCAGCGTGCTCAAAGGAGCTGTTAGAAGTGCTATCCACTTTGCTGGACGCTGGAATGATTATTAAAACATAAAAGTTACAAAAAATATCATTTTTGAGAGGACTTAGGTTATAGTTGGCCGAATTCATTATTTCAAATCATTTATTATCAACTTAGGAGTATTTTCTCTTTAATTGAAGTTTGTCCGCGTTGGTCGAAAGTTCTTTACTTAGAGCGCTGCATTTATCAATGTTTTCGTCRATACATGAATGAAACTTCATGTCAAGATAAAAATGAAGTATTTCATAATATAACTTAGCAAATGAATATGGCATTTTATAAATGAAAGGAGTGTTTGACGTAGAGTTGTCATCATAATCACATTTTCTAGGAATTTGATAAAGCTGCTGGCATGGATCTTCTTCCGGTCAGGTTATATTTTTTATTTTTTTTTTCTTAATTCGTAAAAAAAATTAAAAAGGAGCTACAATAAAGAGGCGAGTGGTGACTTGACGTTGGAGTAAAAACCTTCAGAATGCTCAATTTGAATATGATAAAAACATGGAATAATTTCAAATGYGACTAGCGAAGGAAAAAAGGAAAGTGCACGCACATGCCCATTAGGAATTCAACTTCAAACCAAAGCCAGAACGAAGGAACAAGGCCTAAATTTTCCATTTTTATTTGTCAACTTTATTTGATTAAAGAATTTTTCCTTGTAGATTAGGTTGACATACTGGCGAAGATTGGCCGTTTCCACGACTACCGAGACTAMAAACAGCCTGTGGCTGAGAAATTTACAAGCTGTCCTAATGGCGCACTTTACGCAGACCTGTTTTTATTTATTTAGTTTTATTTTTTGCCCTGACTAATGACAAATATCCGAAGCGTCAGTAATATTTCTATAGTTCGTTATTAACAACCGATCTTTTTATAACAATCGCATTTTAACAATGTTGAGCCCAGCGCTACTATTGTCGATGATTAATGTCAGGTTTATTAATAGAACCAAGAACATCTAAAATCATATAGAATATAGAATAAACAAAGGTCATAAACATATTTTTCAGAGTAAACGAAAATTTCTAAGAAGATAATGAAAGCAAACACTGTACAGCAAGAAACACGGCAAAGAGATTTCGCCTAAAGAAAGACATCAAAAACAGATTAATTAGAAATTAATTTATTAATTGAAAAAAGAAATTATTTTGATTAAACAATTATTAATAGATTCAGAAAAATATATCAAACTGTCAAGAGGAAGTGGTAATTAGTTATTACGCCAAAAGAGTGGGCCATACTTTATGATAAAGCAATTCAGTCCAGACGTTTCCCAGACAATACGGGTGGAATATTTCCCA